TAGAAATGTAAGCTACGTGCAAATTAAATGACTAGGAGAAATTCTTTTCTTTCTGATAAAATGAACAAAATGGACAATTTGGGTAACTAAGGAGCTAAGCAATTACGAAGGCGACCCCGAGGACAATGCCTAGTAAAAATGAATTTCTATTTAACCTTAGAATTTCGCAATAGTTTAGATCTGTTGAATGCGCTTATCGGTCTCAGAACGTGTTCAAACTAAATACGTAATGCCAGTGTTGAAAGCCAAAAGAAAATACGAGAAAATAGCCGCCGTTATTTAAGTTCTCCAATATACGCAGACCTCAGTAGCTTCACGTTGTTGTTTTGCAGATGACGGCAAAGAAATGTATAAAGATTTATAACGCACCTGCACAGCCATTGTTCTACTCATTAAATCTTTTGTTTCGCTGGCGTTCTCGTTACCGTTGCCGTCGTGATTTGCCTAAACTCTTATAGTACTCTGCTGTTGACCCTCCATCACAGTGGTTGTGCGCACTACTGTAAGCTGATAGAATTGACTTCTTGCCAAACATTTTATGTTTAGTTTGCATTCTTGAGCAGAATGTGGACTCAAAATGAATTTTACATACATTCCGCCGATAAAAGTAAAATATAAAACTTTAAGGTAAAAAGCTGTTAAAATTATGGGTGTAAAAGTTTTCGATCTGTTTGATTATCATCAGAGTCTGATGAGTTTAGACTCTGATGCCAATCGAATTTTAACAGCTTTTTACCTTAAAGTTTTATATTTTAAAATGAATTTTGTCAGTAATGTTTCTTTTTTATATAATTGAAAATTGCACATGTACTTCTTAGTCATGAGGGACCGAATGCAAACAAGACTGGAAGATATCATGGCCGGAAGGAATTGTCTGTAAAAAGTCCCCCGTCAGTGGTAAAGAGTTTTTTATTTATTTACTCGAATTCAATTACACAGATGATCAAAATAAAATAAAATAAAGTATAAAATGGAGATATCTGAGTAATTAGGCCAGTTTATACAAAATTCTAGATTCCTTATTTTAAATAAACTGCCTGAGATAAGATATAAAATACATAGAATACTAATATAGATAAAATCGCAACAACAATAAGTGATCAGAAAACTATAAAACTTTCTGCTTATTTAAGTTAAATTTACTAATGTAAAACTGATTCACTTTCTTACTAAACAATGGCAATTGATCAATTGTCGTAATAGCTGCAGGCAGGCCGTTCCATAAATCCACAATGCGATTAAAAAATAAGAATTTAAAGAGATTGGTTCTAAAACAAGTATGGCAAGATGAGAGATATTTAGGCATGAGATTTTACCATAGGACAGAACACATCTCGCTTAACTTTATCCCAGCCGGCGGGAAACGTTCATGAAAAACCACGGAATGTGTAACGGCTTTCCAGCTTCGCAAAATATCAGCCTGAAAAATGAGGTTGATTTTGTTAATTTCTTTGGCTTGGAAAGTGCTGAAAATTTAAATTACATGTATATGGTGCCCTGGAGATGTGCAGGGATACCATCCGTAATATGCCTATGCTTCTGTCGTACGGTAATCATTATAGTGGGCAAAACGGGAACTAGGATTCACCCGGCTTTTCTGCGTTTGGAACGTTTGACTTGACGCGCTTTAATAGGGACTCGGATTTCGCTACTGGGACTTCGAAAATCGGGATTGGAAAAAACGTACTAGTGCTGAGGGTCCCAGCGTTTTTTTTTTTTTTTTTTTTTTTTAATTTCAATTCTAAAACACGGATAATTCGTCACATTACATAAGTGTCCCAAGGACTTTTGTCCACG